CTCATCGCTGCCCGGGTCGGGGTTGGGGTGGCGGCGTAGCAGGTCTTGGGAAATCCCTCTGGAAAACGAACGCTCCTTATTCCAGAGAGTGACCCAGAGTAGGAAGTTTGCGTATTAAATGATGTTTTCAGTTGATAGTGTCAGACAGAGATGCGCTGGTTGGCAAACTGATTCCTGGGTGTGACGCTGAGCTGTTGGTACAAACGCTTCAGGAACCACAGATCTAGAGGAGAGATCCCTTTTCTACAGGGGTGCTGCCATGGGATTGGGAAAGGCCGTAGGCAAACCGTGCATTGAACAGGAGAGATGCTCACAGCCCCCTTGCTCCTGGATAATAACGCACACGTGCAGACGTGGCTTCAAAACCAGAAGCGGGGTCCTTCCCTTCGGGGCCACTTTGGTTTCCTTTTGACTGGGGGGCGGGGGCCGGCCAGTGTCGGCTCGCGGCACTGCCCGTCTGGGAGAGGAGCACGGTGACGCCCCGTGAATCGCAGTGAATCAGTTAATCCTTCCCAAGAGGTCCCATGTCAATTAGACAGGTTGGATTTAACGCCTTCGTATAGCAGCCACGGCGTAGCTGTGAAACGAGGAGGCTGCTCACGGCCAGATGCCCTGCAGTAGTTTCCTGCCCATGGGGGTAGCTGATGGACCCAGCAAGGCGAGTGCTCTCCTGCGCTCGTATGATGTTGGCTATAAATTGAACGCGAGCTCATGCAGCGAATGGGCTACAGTTTGTGCCGCAGAGAGCTGCGCTGCACCGAGCGGCTGTGTTTCTCTCTGCTTTCCCAGAGTGGCTCCTCTGAAGTCAGCTGCCGGAGCTGGGAGTTTGTCTTCAACACATACACCTTGCCACGTCTTTGGCGCTGTAGACCAGTGTCAAGTCAGACCTGAGGCCTGCACCTGTAGGCATGTCTTGGACCGGCAGATCCTCCTGCACGTAAATGTGAACCTCAGCAGCTCTGTGGCAAGGGCTAAATAAATGTGTTTTCTTGAGAATGTACCGAATTGTAACCTTAAAGGGATTATTTTTGCATTTTTTTCAGAATTCTGTGTTCTCCCCCAGCCCTGTTCTCCCCAGCTGCCCACCAAGGTTGTGTCCTTTATCCTTTGGCGAAGGAGTGGAGTTTGACCCTTTACCACCAAAGGAAATCAGGTAAATACTGTGTTACAGTCATCTAGTTTTGGAGGAGTTAGCATGTGAAGGAGTAGTTACGCCTTATCGGTGCCTGTGAGTCAGGTTAATTTATTTGCAGAGCTATTGTTCCACGCAGCTGTACATTCCTGGACATTTGTACAGGCTGAAGGAGTGTTCAGCCTCTTTTAATCCTATGTGTTTTGTTTTTCCAGGAAGACTTTCTTGTATTTTACTCTCCTGCTTTTACTTCATTGTACTGGTCCAGAAAGTTGCCTGATTAACCAGAAGGCAATCATGAGGGAAGATCTTCAAAGTAGCCACCTTTCTAGGGCTGTTTTATTAGGCGAAAGGAATTTTGCTCTCGTAACCTCCTGGTTTTATAATAAGCACTTTCTGTCTTATCAGCTGTAGCTGGCTGTGTGAACTAAAGAAAAGTTAGTATTCACAGAGTGCATAATTATTTTTTGTAATGCACTGCATCACTTCACAGCCTGTGAATTAGTCCCTTGAACATCATGATTTGCAGTAATGAGAAATGAAGGCTCCCAGCTGATTGCTGTGCAAGCAGAGGCAGACTGATACAATCACACGGCAGCCTAATGCAGGGCAGGGCAGAGAGCGTTGGTGCCCTGGGGTGGGGAAGGAGCCTGCGCCGCGGCTGGAGCTGAAGGCAGTTAGCGCTGTGGAAAGGCTAACACAGAGCTGTCGCAGTGTGAAGGTGATGAAAACTTCTTTTCTTTGCAATCCAGGTGCAGAGGATTTTCTTGCCCACAGAGTTTGATGTGCAAATTGTAGTATTTTCCTGCCAGTTCAGTCTTCAGAAGTTTGTTTTCAGAGAGTGCCCCATGCCGGGAGCGATAGCAGAGAACTCCCGTGTGACTCTTGGCAGAGGAGAACTGAGATGATAACGTGTACTTCCGTGGACTTGGCCCTCCGAGGAGTTAAGGTGCTCATGTGCAAAGGCTGAGTGTGGATCTAGGCCTCTGGGTTTAGGCGCTGGAGTTTGAAGGTTCTTAGCTCCACAGAGCTCAGGCTTAAAACGATGGAAATGAGGATCGAGAAGATGTTTGGTGGTGCTGGCAGCTGAACGAAACAGTGACAGTGCTGGGCGTGCTGCTCACGTCAGGCTCTTTCCTCTTCCCAAAAATGAGTGACACACGAGCAGCCAGTGCCTGCGTGATAGAGCTGTGCTGTGTTGAGGTGCCAGGCGCAGGGCTGAGGAGCCACCTCAGCTCTGCTTTCCAGAAAATGCAGCCTGCTGCTCCGGAGCAGAGCTCACGCACGTGTCTCTTGTATTTCAGGTACACGTCCTCGGTTAAATACGACTCGGAGAAGCACTTCATCGACGACATCTACATGCCAGTGGGCTTAAGCATTTCTTCTTGCAGTCAGACGGTCATCTGTGTCCCAAACTGCACATGGCGCAATTACAAAGTGGAGGTCCACTTCGAGCCCCGCAACAAGCCCCAGCGTTTCACCAGCACCACCATCGTCTACCCGAAGCATGCCAAGACTGTGTACACCACCACGCTGGATTACAACTGTCGTAAGGCCGTGCGGCGGTTCCTCTCCAGCATAGAGCTGGAAACGTCGGAGTATCTTGGGAACGACGGTGTCCTGGATGGTTGCTGACTGACGGCTATCTCTCTTGCTCCGATCCATCCCAGTCCCGTCTAACGTACTGTGCTAATTCTCCACTAGCTAAAGCGGGTACAGACCCAAACTTTTCAGTCAGGCTAAGGGAACCTTACCTGTCGCCACCTCTTTCTCAGCTCTTAATTCCTGCTTTAAGCATCAGGATGGCCTGAACGCAATTTTCTATGGGAGAATAACTTAGTACGGAACTTACGTCTTCGTCTTTAAAGTCGTGAGTTCCCTCCCCTTCCCCGCAGTGCAGTAATCAGATGAAAATAATGGGAAGTATTTTCCCAGAGAAAAAAAGGACAGGTAAGAAGGGATGTGGAATAGTGCCTGGCAGGTGGAACTCCATTTGATGCTTTGTGGTGATGTGCTAAAATAAGGGCGGATCGCTCTCTTGCAGAGAATCTGCCAGGTCATTTGGTTACAGGTAGCGCTGTCATTTGTTTCAGTTTAGACCACGAGACTGTTTTCTCTAGAAAAAACATCTCCTGGAAATTGCTGGAAAAAGCTAACAGGAAAAAATCTGGAATTCTGCATTTAACAGATGCAAAAATGTTATCCTGTGGCATTTGTTTTCGGTTTGATGGTGTGAGTTAGAAAGAAGAGGAATTCTGAGTAGAGCGGGAGATAAACTGCTTTTGCAGCTCCAGGCAGCAGCAGAGAAAGGATCAGGTAATTGAAGTTCTTTAGATGAATGGCGCAATATATCTTCTGTACTTATAATGACTTCTGCAGCACTGTAGGCTGTGTAACATGCTAGCATTTGTGTACTACATGTAGTAGGACTTGTAATGAAGAATATCAGGCCAAAAATTATCCCTGTATTGTTGGAAAGTCAGGTCTTGACAGAGTGGTGGTGGGAAAAACACCAGTGCCTAGTTTTTACTGACGTAAAAGTTCTGTCTGCACTAAGGGAGTTGTAGCTAGGAAAGTTTCAGAAAATGCACCGTGTGTACAGGGACCTGGAGTGGAGATGAGATGCTGGGATCAGGTGTGAGATGCTGTTGTGATGGGGATTGTGAAGAGGTAGCTGGTAACAAAGGACAGGCAAATTTTTATGGCCTAGCAAGATCCACAGCTGTAGCTCTGCTTCCCCGTTGAGCTTCTCATTGCAAAGGTCCGTGTCCTCTCTGGACTTTAATATTGAGGATGTTGCTGGGATGGGGTAGCATTTGCCTGTCTGTAGGCTGCTGAATAACCCCTCCACTCCCAAGTGCACGATGAGTTTGGGGACCAAAGGGAATAATTTCAGATACTATGAAAGGCCATCGGGATGTTACGTGCATTAGTTTATCATGCGCTTTGATGAAAAGAAGATGGAGAGGTTTCTTGCTTTACGCCGATGTTGTTTTTCTGTATTGACAGAGAGCAGTGTAGTGTGGAGAGCGTCTGCTTTTGGGAGCGTGGCTCACGTTGGTGGCTAGCGTGGCGTAGCAGCTCAGAAACACTTGGTAGGCTTGACCTAGCTGGACACTGCTTTTCTATGTATTCCAAAACTCCTCTGAGGTGCGGGTCACCTTCTGGTGCAACATCAGCTCTGGACCTGCTTTTAGAGAGGACTTCACTAGTGCAGAGCCTCGAGGGTGAATTTTGTCAATGGTGAGTTAGAAACTCGGGAGCCTGTTCTTGAGCTGTACTCAACACGTGTTTGTGCAAGGGTGGTGAATGGTGTGGTTCACTCTAGAGTGAACCGAAGTGATCTGGGAGACTGCAAATGCAGCAGGAAGGAAAGCTTGAGTTTGCGTGGTTTGGGTTTTTTGTTGTCTTGGTTTGATTTTTTACTTATTTATTAGCTCAGAACAGAATGTCCTTAATCTTTGGTACTTGCCTCAGAAAACCAGATCCTAAAACCAGGGTGACAGAGGATGCCAAAGTCAGGTAGGCATTGCTCCAGAGTTGTTAAGAGCAGCGCAGCCTTCTCAATAAACGTGTTGGTTTCAGACTACGGTATTTAGGAGATGTGTCTTAAATACCTGTCACGATTCTCCCCCAAACGTTGCCCCGAGATACGCTTGTTGTGGAACCGAAGGCACATCTCAGCCCCTGAGTGCGTGGGGTTTCGCGTGGACGAAGGGAAAGCTGTTGTGTCATGGCTCGCTTCGCAGTTTTGTGTACCTTGCTCCTGAAACATCTGGTGCTGGCCGCTGTTGGACGCAGGACGGTGGAAGAACATGGACCCCTGGACTGCTCCGAAAATGCTCTTCCAACAAGTTCATTTGCAGGAGATCTGAGAGAAGATTATTTTAAGCTGTCATCGTTAATTGTCCCTAGTTAAATTAGAAATTAAATGACCCTTACACTATGGTTTTAGGATAAAGCACCTGATTTTTATAAAGCAAACAAACTTAATTATGTACCTCTTAAAAATATTTTAATTGGTAGAGATACCTTTTAAATTATTTATGTTCCAGCATTTGCAAAGCTCTGATTAGCTCTGTGCAAGTGTTCTGATGTCTGTGACGTTTCCCACTCCCCCCCTTCTAATTTTCAGTTTGTCTTTTACTTTATTGGTAATAAATGATATGAAAACCATCATTATAGGGAAGTCTCTTTATTTTTCATTCAAAGCTTTTCAGTGTTTATTATGGTATTTACTTAGTAATAAATACATAATATATCCTGCCAATCCCAGCTCCCCTCTTGTTTCGCTTATATCATGTGTTGCTGTTGTTTACATGTTCTGGGAAGGCCTTCCCTGTAAAAAACTGTGTATTTAAAAACAATCAACACCAAATGCTGTGGCTTTTCAAGTGTCATACTAAACTGATAAAAGTGCCATGAAGACAGCTGAAAATCCTCTCCAGTATGTATCTCAGTCTTTCATCTGGTATAGTTTTATTTTTAAAGAGTTTCTGATACGGATTTCAGTATATCCTGCAAGTGAAGCACTTATCCTTTTCAAATAGAAAAAGTGTTTAACCAGACAGGAATTACTTTTTAATTTTGGTTAAAAAACGCAGATGCTCAAATGCTGCTTTGGTAAATACAGCATAAAAATAAGTCTAGAATGTGTTATGCGTTAAACTTTAGAAAAACAAAATAGATGGTTACAACTACTGTCTGGAGAGAAATGCTGCAGTGTCTTTCTGGATGCTTAATCTGTTCGTTAAACCCTTCCGAATGTGCAGGCATGCTGCGTTTGTACTGTCTCTGGCAGGGTAGAAATGGATGCAATTGCAATTGAACATCAGTTAATTAATTCATAATGGGATTTTTTGCTTACTTTTTATTGTTCATCTGGTTATCTGCTTGCAAAAGCTCTAGATTTGCATGTAATGACATTATTGGAATCTAGGGAGCTTTGAAGCTATTCTGAAGCACGCCGGTGCTCCTGCGAAACTCTGCGCAAGCATTTGAGTATCGTGCGGTGTTTAAAATATTAAAAAGGAGAAAAGCTGTATATAAACATCAATTGCTGTATAAAAGACAGTCCATCTGAAGAGCCGTTAAGAAAAAAACTGTAAAAATCAGAACAGTATCTTTCAGGAGGGCTTCAGGAAAAAGTTTCCTTTCAGATGTGCCGTCTAACTTCCAGGTACTTCCTTTGGTGTGGCCTGGGCTGTTTTCCTTTAATATTGTAGTAACGCTCTGTATGAAAGATGTTCCTTTACTATGAGAAGCTGAAGTAGGGGAGTACAAGACAGTCTGCTGCTTGATGTGATTTTTAATTCATATTGGCCAAAAGGGCTTCTAGTTAGTACCTACCATGACAAGGCTAACCCTGTTGTTACAGATGTGCTCTGTTTCCCTCTTATATATACGCTGTGCTTCTCTAGAATGTCAGATCTGAGGCTCTGATACAATGGATTTTTATAACAAAATAAAATAACATACCTAACAATTAGATCGCAAGCCAGGAGACGAGGGCTGCGTTCCAATCCCGATTTTGCAGCTCGCTCAGTTTCAAGTACTCGGTACGTTTGCGTGCCCACAAATCATTTTAGCCTCCAGCCAAGGTATCCGGTCGTTCAGCTGCACACCTCAGTCTCCCCATCTGCCCCAAGGGCTGCACTTGCTGGTTTCAGGACCAGCAATTCATGAGGTGAATACCTGAAAAGTGCAGGTGTAACGCAGTGAGTATTATTTTGAAATATAGCAACAACTAAAGATACTCCAGGACAAACAGGCAGTACGGAACGGAGCACTTTTAATTGTTGAATCAGTCTGAGTTGCATCTGTATTTTAACTAACGGGTTGGTTTGTTTTTAAAAATGTCCTTTCTTCACACAGATATAAGACAGTAATTGGTACTAAGCTACAGAATGAGAGAGATTTTGGGTGACACCACTGGTTGCAGCTCGGAGTCTGTGCTAACTCCTTCAGCATCCAGGACGAGCTCGTGCTTGCTCCTCTGGAAAAGAACTGCAGCAATCTTCTTCACATACTGTGTGATTGCTGCTTGTGCCTGATGCCCTGCGATGAAGTAACGGTGAATGTCTGATGGCTGGGCATGGCTCAGCAGGCAAATGTAGCTGGATATACGATTTGTACCGTTTCCTTCTGTTCATCTTATAGATCCGCAGCCTTTCTTGCTCTGCTAGAGGATCTTCAAGAACCCGTCCCATTGAAGGCTTTCGTTAAGCTGAGCAGAAAGACCTTGATCTGTTTGACTGGAGTCCAAAATGGTGGAAGTTGATACTACAGCCTTGTTTATTTCTGCACCCTTCTGATTCCCTTCTGCATTATTTTGGGCCGAGTCGGGGTTCCTCCCAGGACTAGGGATTTCAAGCGATGGAGGGGAGCAGGCCTGCTGCTTTCTCATTTTGTGGTGGTGTTTATCTGTTAAAACGATAAATGCCGTTAGCGATAATGTATGCATTGCCTCTGAGGGTTTCCTGCTTATTTCATAAAGAGGATGATGAGACAAATGCTTGCTGTGCCTTTACGTGCTCATTAATAAGAAACCAAATCTGTAAGAAAATACTAATGGCCTAAAAATCTTATTTTTAAGTGGGAAATATATATTTATCTGATTGGCTAACATAACGATT